AGAGAGAGAGAGAGAGAGAGAGAGAGAGAGAGAGAGAGAGAGAGAGAGGGAGGGATGGTGAGTGAAAGCAAATAAGAGCGATTTAATACTACACTGAATCCTCTCACAAAAGAAGCATCATGAGAAGGGAAGCGTGTGATATTTAAAACCCTATATTGGAATGTCTAACAATACACACACACACACACGCAATACTGTTAAAAAGTTTGGGCTAAGATTTTTTTTCATATAGAAATTAATACTATTCAGCAAGGATGCATTAAATTGATCTAAAGTGACAGTAAAGACATAATGTTACAATGTTACAAAATATGTTACAAAAGATTTCTGTTTCAAATAAATGCCCAAACTTTTGCCATTTATTTTTACGGGTGTACATATTTGATTCAATTCCAAATCTTTAATAAATATCATCAATCATAGAAATTTGGCTGATACTACTTTGGTCTATTGCAAAATTATATGTATTATTGCACTGAAGGCACAAATGTTTCTACAACTTAAGTACATTGGACATTTGGATGTTACAACTGAAAATATGAAGGGCATTTTGGATAAAGTAATATTATAGTGTTATACTAAATACCATCAATTACTAAATTACATATTCAATGTGTTGAATTTTTATGTCAGATGCACTGTCTAGTTACCAGAAACTTTATGTAAACATTTGGTTATATGAAGTACAGTAGCTACGTAAACTTTTAGAAAATGTAACAAAACCATAAACATCCAAAACAGACCAAAGTCAATGGCTCTTTCTTGCAAATCTCTGTGTTACAGAAGAAACAATATAAGACGCAAATAACAGTGAACAAGTACTGAACTACTAAACAACTGAACAAAGGACAATGCACAAGAAAAAACGAAGAAAACAGGAAAAACTGTGCACTCAGGAAACTGTTCCATTTGTCGTTTCACAAATACAAGAACTGCTGGACACAAACCTTGACCTCATTTGGACTTGAACTTATCCTACATTTATATTTAACTTTCATCCTCAACAGTTACTGCAGTGAGGTACAAATCATACATGTATATTTATCACTAATTAAAAACAACTGTAAAGAGCAAAAGCCACAAATCAAGTGAAAGAAATCATAATTCGTCTGCTAATTAGGGATTTTTGTGCACATGCTTATTGCATAATGGCATGACTCAGATGACCAACATGCTTAGAGGGGTAAAATGCCCTTTTTCTTGAAAATATTTTTTTCACAATTCACCTGGACTCCAAACATGGAGCAAAGCAGGATTATATACTCTCTCCCTTTGTGATAATTACTTCATGGAGACAGAAAGTAGGATATATTTCCAGAACCCTAGTTTTGATATAACATTGTATTAATGTATTAAATGTTCTCTTTTGGCTTCCAAATACCAGAATAACCAGAGTTAAAACAAAGGTCACAAGGTCACATCCACTGGCCAGAAATCATAAATGCAGATCCTGCTCAACCCAGCCTGTACTTACTTCCATTCATTACGTCCTGGGATGCAATGACAAACCCGAATCCTTCTCCTGGTCTCCGTCTCAACTCCACCTCCATCGCTCTGGAAGAGATCGCTCCCCTCATGTCTACATGGCTTTTGGATACTGCGCCGAGATTAGAAGGAGCAGTACGGCTCCACTGAGCAGGTCCGTCCTCGACTCCTATCCAGTCCCGGGGCTCTAGGGTCAGGGTCACGGGCACGGAGTCCAGGAAGCTGGTGCTTTGGACCAGGTTGGGGAGGTCACCGCAAGGTGAGGAGGGAGAGAGGGTGCTCTGGCTGGGCACAGCACCATCGGAGGAGGGCGAGGTCAGATCAGGGGTGCCCAGGGAGGGAGGAGGTCTCTTATAGGCATTTGGGGAGCCTGGGGAACAAAGAGAACCTGAGAGAGAACAGGATAGTGATGGGCGATAGAGGCAGGATGCATGGTGTTCTGTGTAATTGTATGAATGTCACAGATTTTTCTTGATATGATGTTTTTCTATTTATATAGAAATCATAATAAATATAAAAATACATAATCAGAAATATATATAATTAATGTGTGTTTAGCTACTTGCATTATATATTATATTACATTATATTACATTATACTGGTTATCAGACAATATGATTATTTTTTATTTAATATTATTGTTTAATTTAATGGTATCAGCCAATATGATATTCAACTGCATTTAAATTGGATATTTAAATGCTAATTTCTTTTTTCACATTTAGATTACCTTTGATATAAAGCTAAATTAAATTAAATCTTTAAAAACAATAATTTTACACACCTTACTTATATGACTATATGTATTAGTTATATACGTTTTTAATATTAGACATTTGTTTGAACTTCATTGTTTTCCTCCATAGTGTTATAATTACATATTGCAAAACATATTGCACAGATTTTTTTCTGTTGAAATTTTTTTTGCTGTTTTTTTTAAACTATGGTTTGTACACACCTTACTTCTATGACTATATGTATTAGTTATATAAGTTTTGAATATTAGACATTTGTTTGAACTTCATTGTTTTCCTCCATAGTGTTATAATTACATATTGCACAGATTTTTTTCTGTTGAAATTTTTTTTGCTGTTTTATTTAAACTATGGTTTGTACTTAGTTGCACAATTATTCTTAATTGGCATTGTTAAAATAGCAATGAAACATTAATAAATAATAACAAATGTTAAAAATTTTCTCTTTCACATCTCCCATTCATTTTTCACACTAAACATTATAAAGTTTTCAGTAATTTATTTGTAATTTATTTAGATTCAATAATACAACATTTTAAAGTGACCATGTAATCAAAATGGACAATTCTTTTTGTTTGTTTTTTTATGGAATATTATAGACGATTTATTCATAGACAATGTGGAAGACACTCACCTCCTCTGTAAACCAGTAAGACCACCTCACCCTGTTTGGTATGTTCGTGCAGCACTCGCTGCACCTGTTCATATTAAAAAAAGAACATTTGCAAGGATTCAAATATGTAAGGTTGATGAGGGAAGAGCTTCAGAAACAGACCCGAAGAGTTAATGAATTACTTGTGCGAAGCTGAGACTCTGCACATCAGCGCCGTTGATTTTAATAATGGCGTCCCCTGGCTGTAGGGAATGGCATTGTCGTCTGTCCCAAACTCTCTTCACCACCGCCAGCTGCCCTCCCTGCCCCCCAGCCGTCACACTGAAACCCATACCCCCTCCCTCACTCCTGCCCAAGGCCACAGGTACCAGCTCACCCCCTCCACCGCAGCCTACCCCACCTGGGGCTCCGGGGGACCCTAGGCCACCCGGAAGAGGTCGCGGTGGATTGTTGGCTGGACACCCGTTGAAACCACAGGGTGGGTGCTCGGTTGGGGGTGCAACAGCAAGAGATGTTTGGGGCATTGGAGGCCGCTGGGTGCTGGGCGCTCCTGGCGGGGCGGTAGGACCCACCTCAGGCTGGGGCAGCGGGAGCACAGCAGAGGAGAGATCACTCTCGGAAGACTTAGAACTGTGATGGGCGTGAGAAGGAGCTGGAAGAGAGTTGTTGTTGTAGCTTCGGACAAGGGAAGCTCTAGATGAAGAGTGGAAGAAATAAATGATTGTGTAAAAAGAACAGCATCAATAAAGATAAAATATTAATAATTATAATAGTACTGTAATAATAATCATTAATGAACATGGTCATGATATTATTATAATTATTATAACAATGTTTATTTATTTTATTTAAAAATAATGATAATATTTATTATTACTAATATTAATCATGTTTATTAATAATAATAATGTATAAACATGGTTATAATAATAATAATTATTATTATTATTCTGTTCTTATCAATTATTAGTGTTTTTATTATGATTATTATTATTTTAGTTATAACAATGTTTATTCATTGTATTTTAAAATAATGATAATATTTATTGCAATTAACATTAATTATGTTAATTAATAATAATAATAATCATGAATAAA